TCGGGGGACCCTATGAGGTACTGGGGATCAAACCCCGGGCCAGCCACGTGCAAGGTAAGTGCCCTACCTACTGCAATAACACTGGAACTCTCTTTTCTCACCGATTTGAGGATTATATACTTTTTGAGTAACAGCGAGTGTTCGCACCGGCCCGGCTGGGGGCGCTTTGCTCTCGGGTGATGGTCACTTTCCCGCACTCACCACGGGGCTCTTAGGGCCTAGGAGACCCGGACCGCGCGCGCCCCCTCGCGGCCAGGCTGGACGCCCGCGCCTCACTTCCACCTGGACGGAAAATGCGAGCAGCTACCTGGGGATGCGTGTCGGGTCCGGGATGCGGGATGGAGTCCGCCCAAAGTCTTCCTCCCGCCCCTTTCCGGGCTACGGGTTAGTGGGGGGTGAAGCGGGGGTGGAGGCACAGGTTGGATCCGGGAAGAAGGTGGGAAGCCGAACCCAGCAGGGAAGGGGGTCCCTGCGCCGTGCCCTGTCCCCAGGTGGGCTTTTCAGACTGGCTGTGTCTGGAGAAAAGCTTCCCTATCTGCGGACTGGGGGTGCCGGCAACCATCAGTTCTCTGGAGACGGATGGGGGTGGGCGTGGGGGGAGCGTGCAACTTTTATTGTCGGATTTATCCCTGAAGCACTCCTATATGCTCACCACCGTACCAGGAATAAATTAGCCCCTCAGCTCACTCACTGCGGCTAGCGAAACTCTCCGTCTGAAAATTTGTTTTATTTTGTTTGTCTCGGCTCACACTGATTCAGGTCACAAGTGATGCAGAGCACCACACTACGGGCTAGTACGGGGGAAGCATTCCTGGGGGGGGAGGATTTTTAAAAATCTGGTTAGGTTGGAGGTAAATTGGGGAGATGTATTTGCATTTTTCTATGGTCTATTGTTTTGTTATTTAGTTAATTATTATTGTTTTTTTTTTTTTGGTCCATACCCTGTGGCGCTCAGGGCTGACTCCTGGCTCTGTGCTCAGGGATCACTCCTGGCCAGCTCGGGGGACCATATGGGATTGAACCCAGGTTGACCGTTTGCAAGGCAAATGCCCCATCCGGTGCACTATCACTCTAGCCCTTTATCTGAAGTTTATGGAGATTTCATTTGTTTGAGCCCAGCTTTATTCCAAACGGGTGGGTGTGATGGGGGTCTTGTCTGCAGAGCTGTGCTGGTCACAGGAGCTGACACGTGAGACCTGTGCTTGATCTGTGCCTCCTCCTTCACTAACCTACCCAACTGAGCCTGGGGGGCTCTTGGCCCCTCATTCCATACCAGAGCCCAGCACAGAGGTGCACTTCCTATCTCTTGTACATTCTGAAGGGCAGTATAAAAAGAAGGGGTGAAAGGGGACAGAAGCTCCACCCCCATGGGGATGGGAAGGATGTTGCCAAAGTGAATTTGTTACCTTTATCTCCTGACCAAATTTGACCTTTGATGTAGGTAGTCACGCCTCTCCTGTGCCCCCACTGCCCTCTACATGCCTAAGGCCTTGCTGGAAGGTACGCAGGAGGCCCTCTGGGATATGACTCTAACCACACTTAGTAGCTGGTGTTTCTCCCTGTGTCCCCTCCATGCCTTTAGTCAAGTTGGAGTGCTCTGAACTGCTGGTTTTTTTTTTTCTTAATTGTGGCCCGATTGTGCTGCGCTCTTTGGGGTGGGAGGGTACTCAACAGTGGGTGGGGGAGGAGGTTAGAAAGGCATTTTCGCTGCCTTCTTTGGAGTTACTCAAGCATAAGGTGTGAGTAAAACCCCCGGGATAAGGCTCTCACCGCTATAGCCTGCTGAACGTGCTTCCTCTCTCTTATCTCCCCCGTATCTCCTGGAACTGATCCTTTTTCCTGGATTCCAACTCCCAGAACAAAGACATGCAAATGACTGCCCGCCCCATACCGGAGAACTGGGAGCACTTCACTAGCAATCAGAAAAGCCAATTAAGGTGGCAGGAAGCAGTTTGGCAATTTTACAAGCACCTCCTGCAGCCAGGTCGTAAGAAAATAATTGAGCATCAGATAAAAGTAGAAAAATTTTGAATCACAGCTCTTAATAGATGTCCTTCAGCTGGAGGGATGGTGCATCCAGACAGGAAAATCCAGCACCTTCTCCTGTGGAGAACTCGAGGAACCCAGTACCCACCCTCCCTTTCTCCGATCTTCTGCCAGTTTTCCTTTGGCCGGTTGCTGTCTCCTTCTTTTGATCTCTAGTTAGAAGTTGGCTCTGCTGGCTGGTCCCAGGATGTGGCTCCATCAGAGTCATTCCCTGGCTCCTTGTGGCATTATAGAGAGGAGACTTTTTCTCCTTCAGCGTGGGCAAAGCTGGACCACCTCTGCCTCCATGCAGAGTTTCAGTTCAGGGTGTGGAAGTCACAGGGAAAGTACAGAAACTCCGGCGTTCGGGCATGACTGAGTTAGCAGAGTTGGGCCATGTCAGATGAAGGAGGGAGGGGATTCTGGGCCCAGGAGGAATGGAGTCTGGTACCAGAGTCAGTCTGTTTAGACGCGCACAGAGGTGGAGTCCTGGGGCTGGAGTGATAGCACAGCGGGTAGGGTGTTTACCTTGCACGCGACAGACCCAGGTTCGATTCCCAGCATCCCATATGGTCCCCTGAGCACTGCCAGGAGTAATTCCTGAGTGCATGAGCCAGGAGTAATTCCTGAGTGCATGAGCCAGGAGTTACCCTTGTGCATGGCCGGGTGTGACCCCCCCCCAAAAAAAGGGAAAAAAAAGTGGTGGAGTCCCAAGGTCATGAATACCAGAAGACCAAGTGGGGAGATAGCTTAGCTGGAGTCAAATACTAAAGGAAGAGCGGGATAGGGCTGGAGAGATAGTACAGGGGTGAAGAGGCTTGCCAGCCCCAATATGATCCCTGGCATCACATTTGGTCTCCTGAGCACCACCAGGAATGGTGTCTGAGCAAAGTCAGTAGTAAATCCTGAGACTATCAGGTATGGCCCAAGCCTAAGGGAACGTGGGAAGAGAAAATATGGGAGAAAAGGTCAGTACAGTCAGTACTAAATGACTATTGAATAACAGCCACTAAAGAAGATTGTTAGATCAGGGTGTGTTATAGAATTTGTCATTTCGGAACTCTCCCTGGATCTGGCGTAGAGAAGTTTTCTGGTTGTTTTCTTTTCCATGCCAGGGATGAAACTCCGGGCCTTGCACAAGCAAGGCAAGTACTCTATTGCTGAACCGCATCCTCGACCCAACCCATTGTACTTAACAATGTTTAAACTCTGGGGCTGGAGCGATAGCACAGCGGGTAGGGCGTTTGCCTTACATGCGGCCGATCCGGGTTGATCCCAGCATCCCATATGGTCCCCTGTGCACCGCCAAGAGTGATTCCTGAGTGCAAATCCAAGAGTAACCCCTGAGCATCACCGGGCATGACCCAAAAAGCAAAAAAAAAAAAAGAAAAAAAAAAAGAAAAAAAAGAAAAGGAAAAGTTAAACTCATTTTCCCCATTCTCTTCCCAATTTGTTGCTTGGTCACAGTACTTGCACACTTTAGTTAAGTGCTCTCAGGCACTTGCTTTGGTTGAGTGATCACATGCTTTGCTGTGGTGCTGAGATCCCAAAGTGGAGAGCCGTGGGGAAGCACACATTGGGGAGGGTGTGTGTGGGTGGTGGTGGGACTGGCACCTGGCAAGGGAAGGCAGCCCCTCAACTATCACAAGCCCTATGTTGCATTTGGGGACAAAAAGCAGAAGCAGGAGGGGCCCTTTGGAAGCTGCTGTGGAGGGGGTGGTGGTACAGTTGAGGCGGATGGGGGTAGGGCAACGCCTAGGGTGAAGCATGGATTTGGGACGCACAGATATGAGACAAAGGAGGGGTGTGGCGGAAATCCCTCTGACCTTGCCTCTTCTGCGTCCCTGAGCTTCAGCTTTCTTTTCCCAAGGGAGTTACTATCCACTTCTTGGTAAGGAAGTTTGACTTGTGTAGCAGTTTAGAATATTGTGATTGCTTTTGTCAGAGCTGTATTTGAATTTCACTTGGTGGAAACCAGATATGAGAGCTTTTGTTTTGGCTCTTGGGCCACACCTGGAGGTGCTCAGAACTTACTCTGCGGTCAGAGATCATCTCTAGCGGTGCTCAGGGGACCCTATGGGGTGACAGTGAAATGCCCTACTGGCACTGCTAGTGCTCTGGCACGACCAGCTCTGGGTAAATTAAGACACTCACTTGGTGATCAATTGTAGCCGTTACTCACCTCTTACTGTGACTAACCAATAGACTTTCCCCCCTAAAAGCTACAATACTTATTTCAGATTTCTGGAGACGGGGAGCAGTAAAGAGCAGAGCCTGTGGTTAATCAGAGAACCACAACGGGGCTGGAGTCATAGTACAGCTGTAGGGTGCTTGTCTTGTATGTGGCCCACTCCAGCTTGGATCCCAGACACCCTGCATGGAACCCTGAGCACCGCCAGAAGTTATCCGTGATCTCAGATCCAGGTCCCCAAACAAACAAACAAAAAACCCCAACCAAACAAAGTAAGGAACCACTTTTCTGTCTTGGAAACTGGCATGACAGTAGCACCGAGACGTGAGCATGACTTGGAGGATTTCAGAAGCAAACGGGTGCTTGTGACCATCATGATCAGAACAAATGGTATGCTTGGTGTTTTTCTGAGTCTTGCAGGGAGCAAGCATCATTCGGACAGATCCTTCGGATTAAAAAAGAAGCAGGGGGAGACAGGTCTCTGGGGGCTGAGCGCACGTTCTGGTGCAGGGGGCGGGGGTTCCACCCACGGCCCCGGCCCCTGCCCACCCGAGGACCTCTCCGCGGAGGGGGAGGGCCACGGCCCTCCTTGCAGACTAGGGGCGTGACCCGGGAGGGCAGGGCGGGGCCGGGGGGGGGGTCCCCGCACGGAGGCCGGGGCGGGGCCCCGCGAGGAGGGGCGGGGCGCGGGCGGGCGGCGCATGCTCGGTGCCGCGGAGCGCTCAGCCGCGGCTGCCGCTGCCCCCGCCGTCGGCGCCACCGCCCACTCGGGGCTGGCCAGCGGCGGGCCGCGGGGACGCGGAGTTGGGGCCGGGCCGGGCGAGCGCACGGACATGGCCCCGTGGCTGCAGCTCTGCTCCGTCTTCTTCACGGTCAACGCCTGCCTCAACGGCTCGCAGCTGGCCGTGGCCGCCGGCGGCTCCAGCCGGGCTCGGGGCGCGGACACCTGCGGCTGGAGGGTAAGGGGACGACGGCGCGCACAGGTGCCCGCGGGCCGGCCGGACCCCCGCGGCGCCTGCCCTGCCTTTCTCCCCGGGGCTCGCGTCCGCCCGCCCCGGCCGGGATGAAAGGGGCTGCGCGACCCCCCGGCTTTGTGTTGCGAGTGAGGCGCGGGGGGACCCGGGGGTTCCCGTCGCGGCGTGCGGGCGCGGGGGGCGCCCCACCCTTTGTTCCGGGCCGGGGGACCCTCCGGCACCTTTGCAGCCCGGGAGCGCCGCTGGCCGGCCGTCTGCCGAGGCCGGGGTCGGCCGGCGAGCGGGGTCTCGGGCGCAGGCCAAGGAGGCGCCCCCCGCCCCTTCCCCGGGGGCTGCTTTGTTCCCTCTAAGTTGGGTCGTTTTATTCTCTCCCACCCCCTTTCACCCCCACCCGACTTCCTGGGGTGTTTTGCTCCCCGCTCGCTTTCAAACCTTCCCCGTCCAGCCGCTGGACTCATAGGTGGACCCTGGGTAGGTAGCAGTCCCGGGACCCCCGGCCAGCATCCCGGCCCACTTCGAGGTGCGGATTCTCCTCGCGGCCCCGATGCGGAGTGGGTTCTGTCCCGTGGCTCAGGTGCCCAGACCCTGGTCGCCGGGTGCGCGGAGCCGTCGCTGGACCCGGAGTCCAGAGCTGCTTTGATGGAGCCCGGGGCGGCGAGGGGGTGGGTGGTGGTTTGCTGCGGGCGCTGATGCCCCTTTGGACCCCGAGCGCGCGTTTCTCTGCGCCGCCCCCGCCCCTCCCGTTCCCCGCATCTCCCATCGACGCCAGGGCCGCAGCTACGCGTGGGCACTCGGGGGTCCTGCAGCCGGTGGGCAGGACTCGCAGCAGCTCTGCAGTCGGGACAGACGGGGACGTGACCTTGACCCTGCTATTGGGCAGTCCGAAGCCTCAAGCTGGCCGAGCCTGGCAGGGCGCTTATCAAACCCAGTCACCCACCTCCACAATCCCTATAGAGGATACAGCCTCCTTATTTGCGTGAAGCGTCACACTTTCTCGCTCTGTTGTCCCACCCTTGTCAAGTGTGGGACGCTCTTGCCCTTTCTTGTGTTAAAGACAGAAATCATTCAACTCTGTCCCGATCTTTTTGTTTCAAGTTTCTCTCCACCCACCCTCTCTTGGGGACTCATCCTCCTAGATTGGGGGTAGGGGTGGGATCTTAACAGCTCCCTTGGCGTTGGACTGAGCGGTGGAGGCATTTGGGGGATTTTACTGCCCAGTTCTCATCCTATAGCCTAGAAGGATGGCGCCCTGTGCTTTCTGCCCTTGCCGCAAGGCTTGTGAAGTTTCACTGCTGTGTGTGTGGTAGACCGGTAGGTCTATTCTTCCCTCAGCCTGCACCCCCCATAACTAATGGACAACGAATGGGCGCCCTTCCTTCACCAGGGGCCTCTCACTTACCATGATTTCCTTTTTTCCTACCACAGTTCCTGCCTCGACCCTGTCAGTTCTGCCCTAGGGCCATCCAGGCCCCCTTCACCAGTGGCTGTCTGGGAGCCCCCCAGCCCCAGGCCCAGCTCCTGTTCTCAGGACTTCTTGTGTATGGGATGAAGCCACACGGCCCCTCTTCTTTGTGCCGCCCCCTTTCCAGCCTGCCTTCTGCCTCACCGCCCCCTGTAGCCCTTTATGCTGCCGAGCGAGACCTGCCTGCCTTCACCCCGAGTATGTCTTTTCCTCCCTTAAGAATTTGTTCCTTGACCTCAGGTGCTGCCCCCTCAGGGAAACCCTCCCCGAATGCTGGTCCATTTGCTTCACCGTCTTGGACAGGACCTTGCACTTTGGTCCTCATCAGGTTGCAGCCTCCGTATTTGCTCACATCCCTGTCGCTAAACGAGTTATGTGTAGACACTTCATCTCATCTGGGTGGCCTTGGAGGCTGGACCTCTAACATTGAGCCGAGCCCAGTTATTCTTTGCAGCCTTCCTGCTAAATCTCGTGGAGGTGGGTTTTTTGGTTTTTTGGTTTTGGTTCTACCACTGTGGTTATCAGCTGCCTGTGTGCAGACCCCAGGGGTGTAAGAAGGCTGAAACCTGCTGTTGAATGATAGATTTTGAAAAGTGCTGGGAGAGATCAGAGCACCAAGCCCCAGTGCCCGCCTTCTCACACACTCTTCTGCCCTCTGTTCCTTTCTCAACCCCCAACCTCCCTTTCCTACTGCAAACTTTTTCTGTCCCAACCTCCCCAGAGGCTGTTCTTCCCAGAAGTTGCTCTCAGAATTTCTACTGCCCAGAGACTTTGGTATTGAACTCGGGTGTCTGGGCACCCCACCTGTGGATCTTCAGCCCGCAGCTCTGGACCAAGGTGACTTCTAGTCTAGTTGGGGCCTGACGAACCTAGAGGAATAAGACAGGCTATGCATAAGGCAGACAGACCAGGGCTCTGGTGGGCTGCAGGTCCTTCCGACGCTGGCAGTCGAGGGAGCAGGTTTTGAAGGAGGGGCAGATCTGAGTGCTTGGAGCAGAGTGGAGCCAGTGGCCGGCTTGGTTTCCAAGGGAGCATTTGTTCCAGTAATTCTCTCGTCCCTGCAGGAATGTCTACTTTCCCAGGCCTTGCAAGGTGACTGCGGCCAGCTCCGACTCTGCCAGCTCCCACTTGCTGCACACTCTTGGAGGAGCCGGCCTGGTTTAAGTGGTCAGATTTCACAACCTTCCCTTTATTAGCGGCAATTAAGGGACTGATACCATCTTGAACACAGCTCAGTGTTTTAGAAATGAGTTGTGGGCACACTTCCTCGACTACTTAAAAAAAAAAAAAAAAACCTCTTACTGTCCCTGCCAGGTGAAGTTGCTCTTAGAGTAATAAATACTCTTTTCCCAACGTACTAACAATCTGTAAAACTACTAGAGGGGTGGCCATTCTCATTTCCTCTGGGTCTTAAACCTTTTGGTTTAATTTTGTTTTTGTCCTGTGGCCACGCCTGCCGGTAATCAGGGCTTATTCTGCACTCAGGGGACATTCCTGGCAGGCTCTGGGGACCATATGTGGTACCAGGGATCGAACCTGGTCAGCCACGTGCAAGCAGGTGGCCCACCCACTGTACTCTTGCTCTTGCCCCAACTCTGGTTGAGAATGCAACGGTTGGGTTTGTGATGGAAAACTTGATAGAAAGTCTTTGGTGCTGGGGCTTCATTACCCCTTACTTTGCTGGTGCTTTGAGAAGCCTATTTAAGGAATGAGGAATGAGAAATCTACTCTCCCAGATCTTGATTTAGTGATTTTAGGAGGAGGAAGTGTTGCTTGCCTTCCTACCTAAACAGGGAATGCTTCTCCTTTCTGTTATCCCTGGGACACAGTTTCTGCCCCCCAAAAAGTCAGCTTCTTGAGGAATTCGGGAAACAGAATGTTGGCATCAACTTTTCAATGAAGTGCAAGTTTCCCATTTAAGGAAAATATTTCATCTGAAAAGGTAGGAAGGAGTCGGGTGGTACTTGGAAAAGAAGAAGTTCCAGCTGGTTAAAATTTAGGTCCCTGATAAAAGTCCAATCCAAGAACTCTCCTTGGCTGTGGGCCCAGGCATGTTTATTTGATTCGGAATTGGATGTGTTTTCATTCACTTGCAACTCATGGCCGCCCAGCCCTGCATCTGCTCTGCCCATACTCTGGTCCCCTCATCCATGTGATGGAGCCTCTGTCCCTTAAAGAATTCTGGGTTAAATGACCTCGGCTCTGTTGACACGGTTTTAAGGTGGGCATTTTTTCTGAGAAGTTCTGTGCTCACTTCCAGTCTGTTTTGCCTTGCTAATTGGGAATCCTGGCGCAGTCTGGTTCTTGGGAGCAGCCCCCACCCCCACCTATCCAGCCTACTGAAGGCCTCTGTTTTGCCCGGGGCATTGTGCTGGGCAGTAACTTGGGGATTCAGCTGCGTGAGACCAGAAAATAAGTATGGGCTCTGTGACTCTTTCCTTCCAAAGTGAAGTCCAGAGATTCTTAGAACCAGAACTACCCTGGGAGCTTGTTAAAGTGCAGATCCAAGGCTAATGCCCTCAACCTCCCCAGTAGCTCAGAGGGCCTGCAACACATGCCTTGCATGTGGGAGTCCCGGATCCCATCCGTGGCATTGCCTGGCTCCTGAGCACGGCTGGGAGATACCCCTGAGCACTGAGTCCAGAGTAGCAGCTAGATAGTGCCTACTGTGGTTTCAGAAACAAAACAAAAAAGGACCAGAATGGATGAGGTGGGGCAAAGGATGGACTTTTGAGCAAGTCCCCCATGACGTTTCTCAGTAGAGAGAGTCTTTGCTGTAGGAGAAGGCTTCAGTGATCTCAAGGAAACACTGCATTCTCAAATTCAAGATCAGAGTTTGACTTGAAATTACTTCCCTGATCTTAGAGTGGAGACTTTCCTGGAGGCCTCATCAACGAAGGGGCCAGGTGGGAGTCTGGGGGAGCTGGGGAGCCAGCCCAGTGAGGTCCCCCCAGTTTGGATTGGTTTCTCTGGCCTGAGATTGAAGAGCCAACTGGCACCATAACAGCCCTGCCCGTCCACCGGATTCCTCACCCGCTGGGTTCCTCCCCCAGTATAGCTGGACTGGAAAACCATCTCGGAAGAGTAGGGTTGGATCCAAATCATATTCTCAGCTGCTCAGTGCTTATAGTTTAAACTACAAAGGAAAGCTTTGCTAATGCTTTTTTTTTTCCTTTTAAAGTCTTGATTTTAAGTTGAATAGTTTTTACCCTGCTTTGGAGAGGGAAAGGAGAAAGAACTGTGTATGTGCATGTACACGTGTGTGTGTGTGTGCATGTGTGCATGCATGCACTTTCAAACCCGCCTTTCCAGCCCCATTGGTCCCTGAACTTTTCGCATGCCAGGCCAGCAGATGTCCACTGCTGTGGGGCTACTGCATCAGCAATTAATTCTTCCTTTCATTCCTCACTGCCTCCCGCTTCTGCCCCTGATGGATGAGTTTTCAGGCTTCTAGACGCTTGGGCCCCCCACCCTGTTGGTCAGAGTGCAGAGTGTGGCTGTGCTCACATCCCCTTAGTTGACA